AAGTTTAAAAGGAGACAAAAGGAGCAACATTCGAGACAGTTTTCTAAGAACACTTCGTTCATTAAACTTGTACTGCCTTCAACGTGTTTTATGGGATTAAACAGCTTCGGGCTCTTCATCAACTTGTGTATATAATCTTTTGTTCAAACTTCAAACCCTTTTTCTTGTTCTTACCAAAATCTTATTAAAGCAAATCCAGCTAGCGAATCTCATCCACCCACTCCCACCACACTCCCCAATAAAAGCAATTTCGTAGTATCTTTAAACAAAACAGAAACATACTTACATCTTTAATTAAGCTCTTTCATATTTATATACTATAACAATATCCTGTTATTATAAAAAGAACTGAGTCAGCCTGAAAGGATCCCTGAAATTCCCTCCATGGCCCCAGAGTTGTTGTTTGAATGATATATATACACATATATACGATCACGTGAAGGGTTGTGATTAACAGTTAACATCAACAAACTGATCTGACTCGTCACCTGATCTTCTCTCATCATTCATGTGGTCAAAACTGGTACAGGGAGATATGGCCAAATTAAACTGAATATCTCTGTTCATCACCAACTTTTGCTTGTGTTCATAATGAAATGGACAAAATGAGATCAAAGCTGATATCCTTCCTTGCTGAGATTGTAGGCATGGCGTTATTTCTTACCTAAACATAGGCTCTTTTTTACACAAAGTATTGTTTATTAGTTCTAAAAGTTGGGGTTGGTACGGGTACGAGAGATATTGCAAGCAAGCTATCACATTCAAACCAAATCAAACCCAAAAGCCAACAAAAGGATATTCAGCTTCAATCTTCTTGTTGGTTAAATTCATAACGTTAGGAAAGGTCATATCAATTAGCCAGACAGACACACGCGGTTCCTAAATCATTGGCTTTTTGTTTCTTTTCTTCAATCTCGGAATTGGAATAAAACCAGTGACTAAAACAGTCCTTAATCAAAAGCACATTAAGTAATTAACAGGCAACTTTCACAACTGTAAAGTTTTATATGTGCATGACTTTAATTTGGGAAACTCCTTCCCAATATTTAGTAGTACTCCTTAGTTAGGTAACTTTCCTCAGGTTGATTTTCACATCCTCGGGGTTTAAACTTCACCTTTTTTTTAACAATCGTTTGGGGGATTTAAATCTTCATTCTATAAGAGGGTTCTGATTAGGGCATTTAATATTAGCCTACAGATTAGGGTAATGGATCGCAATAGAGTCGGATATATTAATATAATCCTGGCCACATCCCACTCATGCTACCCTGATTATTTGGCGGAAAGCAGGATTGCTTGGCCATTTTTTTAAGATTGTTGCTTTAATTTATCTTGATAATGTGGAGCACATATATAGTATATAAGGAAAACTGGTTAAAGGTCCTGCTAGAAAATTAATTATGTAAAGGAATCTAAACACTTAAGTCCTTCAACATGTAACCCACCTTTAATCATGTCAAAGTTGGGAAAAAATTGTACTTCGCGAAAATACGTATCATTGTAGTATATATGTAGATCCGTAAACAAATTTCAAATATATTTTAGGTAGGAAGAAAAAGAAAATTAAGGAAATATTTAAATGGGAAAATCCCTAAAAAAAAAAGGGATCGTGCATATATGAAAGTCTAATTTAGACAGGTAAAACTTGAAAACGACCGAGAAGAAAAATATTATAAAATTACTTATATGCACTTTGTGACATAAAAGTTGTTAATAAAACTAAAAATGATAAGCATTGAACTGGTAATAATAAATATTGAAATCAAAAAATTATAAACTGAAAATGTCAAGTTTCGAAGCTTTTGTCATAAAAAGACATATAGGTAATTTAAAAATATTTTTAAAATGACAATTCAACCCTTACTTTCTTTCCTCTCATTTTTGAATGTCAGCTCCCTGAACTGTAACTTCATATATTTAGACTTTTTTCAGGGATTTTTCCTATTTAAATCGTTGGGAGGGGACCATGAGGCGGGAGCGAGTCTGATAATATGATGATCTGATGGGTTCACTCTCAATCACTGGGATGGAGAGGCGTGGGTGGCGTGGGTGACTGATTGCCGATTTTGCTGACATGGCCGTACCGAAGAAGAAAAAGGGAGGTAAATAAGAGTGCATGGTGAGGGTAGAAGTGTCATTAGAGCTTGGAGAGGAGAGAAACGGAATGAGTGTGCCACTTGGCAAGAAGGAACAAAACACGACGTCTTGTGCTGCGGAGTGGGGGGGGGGTGTCCCTCCGTGTCAGGGAGTCAACAATGTTTGACCACTTTTCTCTGGCCCCAAACCATATTATTACTATTTCATTATGACCCATTATCTTGTCCTAATTACTATGCTCCTCTTCTAATCTTAAAAGTTAAAAAACACCACCCCCTTTTGTCTTCTTCCTCCATCTTATTCCTCCCTCGTTTTATTATATTCGTTTCTTAACAAATTTATTTTGAAGACATAACACCTCTGATTCTAAATTTCTAAACTAGACAAAGACTCTATTTGGATAATAAATACTCTCTTCAAATAACTAACTTACAAATAATAAATAATTACTTAAAATTAGTTAAAAATAATAAATAGATTAAAAACATAATCTTATTTTTAAATATGTCCTTATAATAAATAAAAAATAAAAAAGAATGCATAAGCAAATATAACAAGAGAGAGCATGACAAAGAAGAGAAAATAAATAATCAGAAACAAAATTAAAAAAATTATTAAATATTAAAACAAATTCACATTAAAACTTATAAAATGAATCACCACTATAAGATCAGGAGGAGTACAAAACATTAATTTACTTTGCTTTCAAGTTTATAATTTTTTTTTAGATTAGAGTAGTTATAAAGCATATGATTAAGTATGATATTCTTTAAAAGAAAATAATACATATTTATTATAAATAATTAATTTTTGAATATTTATAAAATAATTATCTATAGCTTGTATTAAACATTAAAGGAGTATAATGAAACGGACTCGCTAGTTTTTCTTATGATCGTATATTACAGCAAATCATAAGGGGAAAAAAAAAAAAAAAGAGCTGGATTTGAGATTATTTATGAAAAGGAGATGAAAATAGGATTGAAGAATGGTCATACGGAGTTGAATGGGTGATGTTAGGGGGAGTGGGGCCCAGGGTGCAGTTGTTGTCGTAACCTCTCATGAGGCGGGGTGGGTCCCAGATAATTCGAAAATGGAAAACGACGCCCCATGATTGCTCCAAAGCAACCCAAGCGGTCGCGGTGTTTGGGGTTCGCTGCTTTGCTTTCCACTCCCCATGGATTACTGTTTACTCACTAAGCGGACGTGCACTTGGCATGTTAAGGCTTTGTTTGGGGTTACTCTTTTCCTTGTCTTCATTTTTCCATATACACCTAATTCCTCCACTCCTCCCCACCTAATTAAACTCCCTCGTCCGTATCCAAACAAGTTTTATGCCACTCGCCTACTCGCCCATTTTGACTCGCCATTGACCAGCCCCTCATTGATTCCTGACATGCTAATCTTCTCGCCCTTTCTCTTTTTTTTCTCCTTCTCGTTCTTTTTTATCTTATCATTATTAAAAATTAGGCGATTGAAATTTAATATATCTTATAAAATCATAATATAATACCACATAAAAACTTGAAAAGTAATTTTATGTGTTCATTGACAAAAAGAGAAAAAAAAAAGACAGAGGCCTCTACTTGGATTCGCTTTTAGAATCATTTATAACCAAGACAAAACTCTTCTTATGTGTTTATTTTGTATTCCGTAAATCGTGACCAAAAAAATTACTTATAAGCCTTTCTAAACAGAAGTGTCAAAGGAGACATTATGGCAGTAGTTAAGCTTGTCATTATAATATCACATATCCCAAATGCAAATACTAGAAATTAAACAAAAATAAGGTGAGGTTGGAAGTAAGTGGAATGAAAGTGGTAGCAGTTGAGTGTTAGTATAATATTGGAATCTGTTTTTATATGGTTGTCTTGGGCGTAACATTGAGTATATTTAGGTTTAGTGTCGTGGAATTCTCATGTTACCAAAAATAAAAAAATAAAAACTCAATTAATTAATTAAAATGGTTGAGGGGGCGGTCGCCATTCCTCATTCTCCACCCTCCCTACTCCCTAGTTAGCTCCTCAATTTTATTATCCCATTCTTCACCTCAATGCAACGCCAATACTATCACTCTTATTCAAAAGGCCAAAAATGAAAAATAAAAAAGCCAACTCCATCACAATGTACTGTCATTATTGCCCCTTTATTGTAAAGTCAATACTCAATACACACTACAACGGACCGTATATGTACGTATAGTAGTGTTTTAATAACACCACCAATTTTTCAGCCTATTCGCCCTAATTTCTTTGGTTTTTGTTTAAAAAAAAAACTATTTATGTAATGAGCTATCCTAAACCAAATGTTGCAAAACAACGCAATAAAAATCTCCTTCTCATTGTTAAGCCAGATTTTTCAGTACAATTATACGCATATCTTTTTAAAATATGCACTGTTAATAATTTATAGAAACTGATTTATTGTTATTTTTATATTTATATTAATTTTATTGTGTTGATTTTATTATACAGTTAAATAGTCCCTCCCTTTTATCATATTCTACAATAATAAAATATATATAATATGTTTTTTAAATGTGTATAATAACTTTAAATGATGCACATAATCAATCTTAGGGACTAAGAACAAGAGAGTGATTTGCGAGACTGAATCCCATTTAATTTCATAAAATAAACTTTTTTTCGGTGCTTATCCAATTCTTTTTTTTTTTTCCAGCCAAATGCTTCAACCCGGATATTCAATTATTCACAAATTTCTTTTTCTTTTCTTTTTTTCCTGGGGCATTGTGCATAATTTTTACGATAAGATCTTCACGCTTCCCTGCCTCATCATCGTCCTTCCTTGCTCAGACACACTCTCAATTATAACCCACACCTACGCGACACACTCTCCGTTGCAGACTTGCAGGCCGCCTCCTCCTCCTCCTCCTCCCCGGAGTTCTGAAACCATACGTACCCCAAGCCCCTAAAAGATGAGGCTCCTCCTCTTGCTCCTCCTCCTTCTCCTTCTTCACCACTCCTCTTCTGCCCCCATGTCTGAGTACCGTGCCCTTCTTTCCCTCAAAGCAGCCATTACCGACGACCCCCAATCTTCTCTCTCCTCTTGGAACACCTCCACCAGTCACTGCACCTGGTCCGGTGTCACCTGCGACTCCCGACGCCATGTCGTTTCCTTAACTTAACCGGCCTTGGCCTCTCCGGCTCACTCTCCAACGATATTGCTCACCTACCATTTCTCGCTAATCTCTCCGTTGCTGATAATGAGCTCTCAGGACCCATCCCGCCGGGGATTTCTGTAGTCACCGGCCTCCGATTCCTCAACCTTTCTAACAATGTGTTCAACGGAACTTTCCCTGCTCAGCTTTCCGAGCTAAAGAATCTTCAGGTCCTCGACCTTTATAACAACAACATGACCGGAGACCTCCCGCTCGTTGTGACCCAGATGCCGAATCTCCGGCATTTGCATCTCGGAGGGAATTTCTTCGGGGGTCAGATCCCCCCGGAGTATGGGCGGTGGGAACACTTGGAATATTTGGCTGTTTCTGGTAATGAGTTGGACGGCAAAATACCGCCGGAGATCGGAAACTTGACGAAGCTCCGGGAGCTTTACATTGGATATTACAACACATACGACGGCGGTTTACCACCGGAGATTGGGAACTTGTCGGAATTAGTCAGGTTCGACGCGGCGAACTGTGGATTAACAGGGGAGATTCCCCCGGAAATCGAGAAACTTCAGAAACTCGATACACTGTTTCTTCAAGTGAATGCGCTTTCGGGGCCTCTGACACCTGAGCTTGGGAACTTGAAGAGTCTAAAATCAATGGATTTATCCAACAATATGCTTGCGGGTGAGATTCCGGAGAGTTTTGCTGAGCTTAAGAACCTGACTCTTTTGAACCTCTTCAGAAACAAGCTTCATGGAGCCATTCCTGAGTTCATTGGTGAACTACCTTCCCTGGAGGTATTACAGCTTTGGGAGAATAACTTCACTGAGAGCATTCCACAGGGATTGGGGCAGAATGGGAGGCTTGTTGTTGTTGATCTCTCGTCTAACAAACTAACCGGTTCTTTGCCTCCTGATATGTGCAATGGGAATGGTCTTCAGACTCTAATAACTCTTGGAAATTTCTTGTTTGGTCCTATCCCTGAATCACTCGGCAAGTGCGAGTCATTAACACGAATTCGTATGGGAGAGAACTTTCTGAATGGTTCGATTCCTAAAGGCCTCTTTGGGCTTCCGAAACTTACACAGGTTGAACTTCAGGACAATTTTCTCTCTGGGCAATTCCCTGAGGGGGATTCCTTTGCTGTTAATCTTGGTCAGATTAGTCTATCCAACAACAAGCTTTCTGGGCCGTTGCCACCTTCTATTGGTAACTTTTCCGGCATGCAAAAGCTTCTTCTGGACGGTAACAAATTCTCAGGTCAAATACCTCCTCAGATTGGGAGATTACAGCAGCTTTCGAAGGTAGACTTTAGCCACAACAAGTTCTCGGGCCCTATCGCCCCAGAAATCAGTAAATGCAAGTTACTGACATTCGTTGATCTTAGTCGTAACGAGCTTTCTGGTGAGATTCCAAACGAATTAACCGGTATGCGGATTCTCAATTACTTGAATCTCTCTAGAAATCACCTTGTTGGCAGTATTCCCTCATCAATATCAAGCATGCAAAGTTTAACCTCTGTTGATTTTTCATATAACAATCTCTCCGGTTTGGTTCCTGGCACTGGCCAATTCAGTTACTTCAACTACACATCTTTCCTTGGCAACCCTGAACTCTGTGGTCCTTATTTGGGTCCTTGCAAGGATGGTGTTGCTAATGGTGCTCACCCACCTCATGTTAAAGGTCCATTGTCATCTTCCTTGAAACTTCTCTTGGTTCTTGGGTTGCTATTGTGCTCGATTGCATTTGCAGTTGCAGCAATAATTAAAGCACGATCACTGAAGAAGGCAAGTGAAGCTCGTGCATGGAAGCTAACAGCATTCCAGCGCTTGGACTTCACTGCGGACGATGTTTTGGACTGCTTGAAGGAGGACAATATAATAGGTAAAGGAGGTGCGGGAATTGTGTACAAGGGTGCCATGCCTAATGGTGATCAAGTTGCAGTGAAAAGGTTGCCGGCCATGAGCAGAGGTTCTTCCCATGATCACGGTTTCAATGCAGAGATCCAGACATTGGGGAGAATCCGACACAGACACATTGTTAGGTTGTTGGGTTTCTGTTCAAACCATGAAACTAATCTGTTGGTGTATGAATACATGCCCAATGGAAGCCTAGGTGAAGTTCTTCATGGTAAGAAAGGGGGTCATCTGCACTGGGACACAAGGTATAAAATCGCTGTGGAGGCTGCAAAGGGGCTGTGTTATCTACACCACGACTGTTCCCCTCTTATTGTTCATCGAGATGTGAAGTCGAACAATATCCTTCTTGACTCCAACCTCGAAGCTCATGTGGCTGATTTTGGACTTGCCAAGTTTCTGCAAGATTCTGGAACGTCTGAATGCATGTCTGCTATTGCCGGTTCATATGGATACATAGCACCAGGTAACATTCAAAGTCAACACAGTGATTTAATTATTTGTTGAATTCATGATTAACTTGCTATTCCCTAACATAATTATATTTAGAATCTCTTGCGTTTGGAATTTGATTAATTTCACTCTTTGACCGGTTTAGTTTCAGGGCTAGCTATAGATAGTGAACTACGGGTTTCAATCCTACGTGAATGATATCTTGATTTGTCCCCTATTAGACTGATTCCCATGTTTTGCTGCTGGAAGTGAATCTTAGGTTGCTTTACACTTAGGTCACTCTAAAAACTTTTTGACCATAGCCCACCTATAGAGACACAGATATTCACCGTTAAAAATTCGCTTGCAGAATTCACTGTTAGCAATCAAGCATAGACTTGTTGTTTCCAGTTGATGTGGTTGCTTGTATAGTAATTGAAGCTTGAGGTTTGATTTATTGCAGAATATGCCTACACACTGAAAGTTGATGAGAAAAGCGATGTGTACAGTTTTGGAGTTGTTCTCCTAGAGCTTGTAACAGGGAGGAAACCAGTTGGGGAATTTGGTGATGGTGTGGACATAGTGCAATGGGTGAGGAAGATGACTGACTCAAACAAGGAAGGAGTTCTGAAAGTTCTTGACCCAAGACTTCCCTCAGTTCCTCTTCACGAGGTGATGCATGTGTTCTATGTGGCAATGTTGTGTGTTGAAGAACAAGCGGTAGAGAGACCAACTATGCGTGAAGTTGTCCAAATTCTAACAGAGCTTCCCAAGCCACCTGCTTCTAAACAGGGAGACTTGGCAATCATAGAGTCATCTCTGTCTTCATCAAACCCTCTAGATTCTCCAAAACAGAACTCAAAGATCATCAGCATCCTCCTCAATCGCCACCACCAGATCTTCTTAGCATTTGAAGTGTTTAATTCACCTAGGTTTTCCTTGGGTTGTGATAAGCGTATAAATTCATATGCTTTCATAAGCTTTTAATTGTTTTTCTTTTCATGGGGTGGGGTTTTATTTTTATCTAACTTGAAGGTATTATTAATGTTTGGATTTTTTTTTTTGGGTTTTTTTGTACAGTACGGTTGGAGGGGGTCTTTTCTTATTTAATAGTCGTTGTTTTCATCATCATGTAGTTTGTTTACGGCACAGCTGTTGGGTTCTGTTTCTGATCCTGCACCCTGCAACGAAGAACTGTGTAATCATCAAAGGGTAACTCTGTTCTTAAAAAGCGGTGTCTGAGAGAGTGAAAGCGATCCACAAACACATGTTATTAGAATCTTTGGGATTTTATAAGACCACCACTTGAGAGGTCTTAAAAGGTAAAACCAGACCATTGGCCTTGAACATATATTCGAAAAATTCAACCAATGACTATAACTTGGTAAAAAAAAAAAATAAAGGGATCAAAAGAGTGTTGTTATTTAAATTCAATTTATCATCTCTTCTCCCAATTTACAAGGATGTAATAATGTTTTGATAAAAACTAAATTATGATTTTAAAAATAATTTTAGAGTTTTGTATTGATTTTCATAAAAATATCTTTTTTAAAGTGATTTTAGGATACCTCAAACACCTCGTTATAATTTTATTATACTTTGTATCTTTGGTGCAACAGGACTACAGGAATGTGTTTGTTTGAGGACGGCAACGATTTCGAAGTATGAGTAATGCCAAGAAATTAATCAATCTATATATCTATTTATATGATATGAATAAATTAATAAATCGTATTATTCATGCACGAAAGTAAGTTCTCATTAAAAAACAATCTAATAGTCAATTTGTAAGATAACTTTATGTTTAAATGTGGCTTTTTGGGAATACCGAAAGTCGCAAGAAATATCATACTTTGTGGTATAAACATAATATTCTGACGTTTTATATAGTCTACAGTGAATGAATTATAATGAATTGAATGGAATCGATATTGATTTCTAGGTGAAAGAAAAGAGAAAAAGAAAGGAATTGACATTGATTTGAGGGTGAGCAAGACAAGAAACAGATGAAATATACATATAATTGAAGTTTGGGAGGGATTAATTAACAAATGAATTAACAGTTATATTTTGGAGATATTAAAAGCAAGAAAGGTGGAGGAGAGAAAAATTGAATTGGTGGTAGCTAACCACATAGAAAAAGTAGTTGGTTAGGGACATAGTAATAAGCTGAGAAAGGAGCCTACACTACTAACAATAAATAATTAAGGGTCTATGGTATATTGATTTGGTTGCTTGGTCCACAGCAACTAGCTTAGAAAACGATGCATGTGAATTTCAAGTGTTCTGGCCCCAACTCTGCCCTCTGCCTTTTCCTAAAAGCAACATCCCGACAAAATACTCCCACCACCACCACTATCACCACCTGTCTTGTTCCTCCTTCGTTTTCCTCCATTAAGCTCAACTAAATTTTAGCTGTTCAATTCTTAAGTCCAATTAACTCAAGAATGTGTTGATGGAGAAGAATGGAGAACGAGAAGAGAGAGGGGAAAGAGGCGGAGTCAAAGAGAAAAGCTAGGAAAAAACCCAATATTCAATTATCTCATTCATAGGCCTACAAGTAGATGTGTTGAAATGTTATTTAAGAGTTTAACTTTAATTAAAAGGGTGTTTGGGAATATATAAAAATACTTTTAAAAAATTTTTTCATAAAATGAGATAAATTTTTTTATATATTTACTTTGTAAAAATACTTTTAAGAATATGCCGACCCTTTATTTCCTTTCATAAGTTGTAAGAAGCCACAAGATTAACGTAAGAGCCAAAATATGCGTTTCGTTTTGGCGATGCCTAAGAGGCAAAGTTAATAGGCTTGAGTGTGTTGGATCCCAAAGCCTTGCATGGCTCTGATTGATTGATTTGAAAATTGGGAGGGATGAATAAACCTCTCGTGAATAAGAGGCGCAAGTTTTTGGGATTTGGAAATGAGAGAGGCGAGTCCAATCCAAAATAGGAATAATTGAAATTTTGGGTGCCAAAGGACAAACAACTTTACCAAAAGAAGGACGTGGAAGGACTTGCACGTTTCGTCCTAACCATTGCAGGTTTCTGTTGGCTCCATACCTAACCTATTTCCCCTCCCTCCTCTCTCTCTGCTCCTGTCTTTTCTCCCCTATTATTTTCTTCAGCCCCACAGTTTCAATGACACTTACAATGCATTACAGTCAAATATAAAATACTGTCTTTTGAAGCCATGACAATACAATACAAAGCTTGTCTCTTTGTGTAATGCAAAGAGATTGCAAGCCAGTTGGAAAGACAGAAGGATACAAAGTTTGTAATGGGAGTAATTGAGTGTTGCAGAAAGAGAGGGAGAGGGAGAGGAATGGGATTAATGGAGCAATGAAGGAGAGTTGCAAGTACAAAGTGGACGTTTGTGGTTGGAGGGCCTAATTATTGGATTTGGTTCAATGTTGTTCGTATCCCACATCCACCCGACACGCCATTTTCATCTCATTACTCTCCCTATCCTCTCCTTTGACTTCATTTATTCTCTCTATTCAATTCGTTTCCCTATCGTCCCTCCTACTTCCTCTTCATTACCCTCATTCTCTCTTTCCTCATTATAGTTCATGCTTCATCTTTCCACAAAATCTCCCACCATGCATGCACCCCCCCACATTCTCAAATATGAAGATTTCCCAGGTTCGACGACTCAAGAAGTTATATTGATTAAGTGGTTGTTTGGCAACAATGAGTATTTTTCCACAAATCGAGATAAACTTTTCTACATATTTATTTTATATATCAAAAAAATACTTTTAAAACTATGTTCTTTATTTTTTGAAATAGAAAGGCAAGCTTCAACTTGTACAGTCAGAATAAAACATCTCAATCAATGAGCAGTTGGTTGAGCTGGTAAGTAGGCTCGCCCCTTGTAAGGATGAAAACGCATGTTCGAGTCTCAGGAAACACTCTCATTAGGAGAGGGGATAACCACCGTTGGAAAACCACAGCACTCCTACCTTTTGAATCCGGATTAGTCAGTTGCCAATAGGCATCAGATCACTAGGCGGTGTGTAACCAAAAAAAAAGAAAGAAAAGAAGAATGAAACATCTCAAAATAGAAATAAACTAGGATGAGGTCAAAAATCATAGTTTTAGTTCCTTCCAAACACTTTCTAAATTGTTTTAGGTTAAAACTTACCTAGAAAATGGATGGTTGAGAAAAAGTTCAATGATTAGAAGTTACTACCTTGTTATAAAACTAATCAATGCCTCAAACAATTTGCAAATGCTCGTATCTATAATTGGTAGCAAAAAAAAAAAATCTATATCTATAATAAGAAGTGAAAAACTGTGACAAGTAACCCTCTGGAAAGGACACCCTATAATAAGAATTAGGGGGTCTATCTTTGTAGAATTCTCCTGGGTAGATCTCGGTACACGATTATTTTCTCTTTTACGGTCATGATTTTTTGCATTTAGTAAAATATTAATAGGAAGAATTCCAAAAAAAAAAATTTTAAATTTTAAAATTTTAAATTAGTCTTATTCATTATACTTTAATAACAATTGGTAAAATTTAGAAAACAAGTAATAACACATTTTGATTGTCATTTCTATTTTAAAATTTTAAAATTTTAGAGGTATTTTTTTAAAAAAATTTCATATTAATACTAAATTTTTTTTTTTTTAGTACCTGCCCCCTGGGTACAGCAATGTTTTCCGGGATGGAATCCCAGTTAAGAAGACTTGGCCGTACCTTCGCTCTTATTCATTGTGGTCTTCTGTATCTTCTGTTGTCTGCTGCATTAAATACCGTATAAGATTTTCATTTATTTTATCCACTTTATCTAATAAGTATTTTTTTTTTTTTACATCACTCTCATTAATTTCACACTTTTCCTTACTCTCTTTATTTCTCACATTTAATATATTTATTAAAATAGAGATGTTCTAAGGGGAGTGGCACCCAACTTTTACATGACAATAACAAATAAATCAACAAAATTTCTCAATTTTATTTTATTGAATTAATAACTAGATATTACCACCTCTAATACTTAATATAAGAACTAATTAATTAATTTGAGTAGATTTTAAAAATTAATTAATTAGTTATTTGTAACAAATAAGTGTTGTCTACTCTAAAATATATTTGTAATTATGTGTAATAATTAGAACTACCATATGATAAAATCTTTAACATATATAACTACTAGAAGGACTATTTTATAAAAATAGATAAATATGAGATATAAAATAAATTTTAAGTTTTACATTTAAAATCAAATTAAATATTAAATTATTTTTGATATCAATAACGGGAAGTGGTGTAATGTTTAGGAACCCAGGGAGCAATTTGAAAAATGAATCTGCGTGAAAAAAAAACAAAGAAAGAAGAAAGAGATTGCGTGGCTGTAGAGTGGAATCAAAGATGACGGACAATGGCAGACATGCGGGGATTGTGGGGTCACGCTAAAGAATAACAGAAAATAAAATAATCCAAGAAATAGCCAAACTTATTATTATTTTTTTTTTGGAAAAGGAAACTATAGAATTAATTTGCATTTTAGATTTTTTTGGGGGGAAACATTCTAAGAGAGAAAGCGCAGAAATAATGGAGAAGTGGGACGAGTGTAATCATCCGCATTCAAGTCTTTTTGTTTGGTATCCAAAATGGTATCAATTGAGAGTCCAGGGCGTTTCAAATTTCAAAATTTCAAAATACTCCCTCTTTATTCCCATGTTGCCCCTGACTCACCTGAAATATAGTTGGGCCTCATATCAACGTTAAGAGAGGCCCATGGGCCATTCTGTTACTAACAGCCCAACCCTTTTGTTTTTACCAACAACGGGCCCAACCTAAATCCTTCTGAGTCTGCGTGTACACCGAAAAAGGTCCGAATAAGAGTTCACCACTTTGGCACGATGAGCGTGATGAAGGAATGACACAGAACGTACGTAGGTAATGAGTAATTAATATTTAATAATAAATGAATATGTTGGTCAAAAAAATAA